TCGGACAGTTGTTAGCTGCCATGTGGGTGCTGGGATTCGAACCTGGATCTCCTGCAAGAACAGCCAGCCAGTGTTCTACACTGCTGAGCCATCTATTCTCTTTTAATGTAACTCTCTGCTTCTTAACTTCCTTTCCTCAAAAGCTTTTCTGGAAAATAAATTCGAAGAACAGAGCAGTGCCACCTGCATGGTTTCTCAAAACAAATGTTTTTAAGTTTTGAGGAAATATTTTCCTTCCTCTCGTTTGAGTTAAGCCATTTGAGAATAGACAGAAGGAGCCAGTGGAAATGAAGAATGCCGGTCTTTCTAAGCTCTGCCACCCTGATGTTGAGATAGCTCTTTTTCCATCCTCTCCCCCACATTGTCTAACAGCTTGCATTTCTTTTTTAAATGGGTCTCCACACACTATTTCTGTTCATCCTTAGCTCACAAATGATGAAGAAATCCATAACGTGGGAACGTCCTTGACCTTTGGATTTGGCACGTTAACCTGCTGGATACAGGCTGCATTGACACTCAAAGTCAACATCAAGAATGAAGGACGGAAAGTTGGAATTCCACGAGTTATTTTGTCAGCTGTTATCACTCTCTGTGTAGTCCTCTGTATCCTTTGAATGTGAAAAATTCCTTGTAACAGGCAGGAACAGGAAGCTGCCCTATCACATTTAACACACACAGGAAGCAGAGAGAGAGAACAAGAAGTAGGGCCATACTGTAAACCCTCAAAACCTGCCTCTGATGATGTGCTTCCTTCAGTAAGGTTGCACCTCCTGTAGGTTCCACAACCTAAAGGTCCCAAACAATGCCACCAACTGAGGGATCAAGTGTTCACCTATATGAGCCTATGGGGAACATTTCTCAGCAAAACCACCACCCCATCCCACCAGTCAGTTCCCTAGAACAGAGTTATCAGTATTCATTTGCTTAGGTCTTCGTGTTGTCTCTGAACATTTGAAACCATTTCTTAATTTCTGGTTTTCTTTTTTTTCTTTTTTTTATTTCATATGTATGAGTGTATTGCCTGCATGTATGTGAGTGTACCCGTGTCGTGCAATGCCGTGGAGGTCAGAAGAAGGCTTCAGATTCCCCTGGAACTGGAGTTAAGGATGGTTCATAGCCACCATGTGGGTGCTGGGAATTGAACCTGGGTCCTCTGCAAGAGCAGTCAGTGCTCTTAACCACTGAGCCATCTTTCCAGCCCCTGATTTCTGGTTTTCTTGGATTCATGCCTAGTCGAGAGACCAAAGTTTGGCTGAAGGAGTTTCACCTATTCTGCTGTCTAAAAGTCTCTCAATATTTTGGGTCTATGTTTTAAAGATAAAACACAGATATGGATTCTAAGCTATATCTAAGGGAACATATATGATTTTTTGGAATAAATATTTTTGGTTCTCAGCCTCTTGGCCTTTCACTAAAGCATGCTCTGAACTTTTCACTCTTCTAGAAGATCCTATATTTCCATACACATTGTGTGGTTGTGAGCATACTATACATATGTATATATATTTTTTATTTATATATATGTATGTATGTACATTCGGGAATAGGACTGTATTTGATTGTTATCACTATTTTGGGTTTTAAGTTTTTATTAGTATATATTAGCATATTAGGCATAATAATGGTTTCACTATGACATTTCATATACATAATCATTTTGATCGCTTCACCCCCATTACCCTCTGTGATTCCCCTCCCATTCCTACTGATTGCTTTTGTTTTGAGACAGGGCCTCATGGAGCCCAAGCTGGCCTCAAATTCCCTGTATAGCTGAGGATAACCTTGAATTCCAAATCCTCCTGCCTCTACCTCCCAAGTACTGGGATTACACATGGATGTTTATCACTAGGCCCAGCTCATTTTATAGGGTTTTTTTTTTAGTTGTTTATCTTCATTTGGTCACAATTTTTAATATCTTACCAAGAATGAAACTAACATACAGTATTGTCTTGAAGATGGTAGTAAAAATTAGAAGAGCAAAAGGGGCCATCAGGACATTATTAGCAGCACTGCAGAGCAAACACAGCTTACATCGAGATAGCTAGAATATGTTCACTGGAGTAGTAGTCCTGCTAGTGCCACCTGTGGAATCCAGCAGCTGACACATGGCCAGATGTTTGGGTGAATCCCAATGCCAGTTAATACCTGTGTGAATGACTTCAGCCAAATTACTTGGCCTCAGTTTTCTGATAGCTTATAAAACTGATGATGATGATAGGATTGCTGTGAGGAGTTTGAGAGATTATCTAGAAGTATGCAGGACACACCACTCAGTGTTATAAATCAGCAAGTCCTGTCACATTGCTGTTAGGTGTGGGCATGGCTAACAATCACCAGTTTTGCCAGGGAGGTGGGGGAGACTGACAAGGAATGGCTGATGGCTCTCCTTGACTGCTGTTCCCCAGACTTCATCCTCATGGCCCAAGACATCCATATGTATGCAGCCAGGGTCCAGTGGGGCCTGGTCATGTGCTTCCTGTCGTATTTTGGCACCTTGGCCGTGGAGTTCCGACACTACCGCTATGAGATTGTGTGCTCTGAGTACCAGGAGAATTTTTTAAGCTTCTCTGAAAGTCTGTCAGAAGCATCTGAATATCAAACTGACCAGGTGTAACCCATCCATTTGTCCTTGCCGGTGAGGTGGGTGTGACAACAGGGGAGGGACCAGAAGGACACACTCATAGGACCTGACACATAGCCTCATGACATGTTCCACACACAGAGACACATATTCACGACCACATTTGCCAAATGAGCTTTTCAGGGCAAGTTATTTCTTTCTTGAACAAGCACAAGCTCTCATGTGTCAAAATACATACTGTTACACTGAAGATATATGCATGACAGAGCCAGAAGCTTGTGTGTGACCACGTCTCCACCCCTGACTTCCCAGTATGCCTTGCTCTCCTCATCCTATTCACACGTTTCAAACCTGGCATCTCCCTCCTGCAGAGTAGGCCAGGCCAAACCTAACAGGAGAATAAGGCCAATTCCCCAAGTTGCCTTCAGGTCCAAAGGGCTTGGAATGGGCTCTGGAGGAAGCTGTGAATCTGGTATCTGTATTCTTGAATGGACAACTGAGTGTCATCTGACTGGATGAACACTGTGTTGGAGATGTGACTGAGTAACCTACGAAAGGCATAGGCAGAGCTTTTTCCCACAAGCCTCCCTCCCTTCGCCCTTGTTCAGCCTGTGTGGATCCAAGGAAAGGAATTTGCTGCCGAGTGTGAGCAGGAAGGAGGCCTGCCACTGAGATTTGGACTCAGTTCACTCTGCTGGAGAAATAGCCACAGGGACAGTGCCTGCCAGGTGTGTGGCATGAGAGGGGGCTGTGAGGGTGTGGTTTAATTTTTTTCTTTTTTTTTTTTGCTTCCACACTATGTCATGCACAGTTTTTGTTTCATGGCTTATGGTTTGTCTTTTTATTTTTTAAATGTAACTACCTTGGGTCTCTGTAGGCCTCATGGACAAAAAGTGAACCAAAAGCGAGAACCTTGCTCTGGTTTCAACTATGGAAAAGAAAAGGTCACCCGCAGGTTTATTTTATGTTTGAAACAAAGAGAAGATTCACAAAGAAACACAAAGAAATCTGTACCTATGCAGGTAATGAAAAGAGTTCCAGCTGGGCTCTGAGTAAAAACAGGAGTTTTAGAGCATCTTGGTTTAAGTCCAAAACAGGAGAGACTTTTCAAATACGTATCTGTTGCTCAAATTTCGTAGTTTTGGGACTGAGGGCTTTTCAAATTTGGAATTTGTAGAAGCCAATTAAAAGATTACCCTTGCTGGGTGTGGTGGTGCATGCCTTTAAGCCTACCACTCAGGAGGCAAAGCAGGCAGATCTCTGTGAGATCGAGGCCAGCCAGCTGGGGCTACAGGGAGAGCCTGTCCCAACAATGACAAAAAAAAAAAAAAAAGGTTACCCTCCTCTGAACAATATTGGCCTCATGCTGAACATGTGGGTTCTTGCCTGCTGAGTTCAAAAATCAGGCCTTAGGTGTGGACATTCAAGACTGTGCCTCCCAAAGAGGGAATTCCAGATTCCTCATGCCAACAGAGTGCACCAAGTGCACAGACTTCTCCCCCAAAAGCTCTGATAAAAGAAACTCAAATTTCATAGGGGGCCTGGGATATCCTAGAATATAATGTGGAAAATGTTGTTTTTTAAATTCAACCCAGAGCCTGAGCTTCTTGCGGGGGTCTAATATCTTCTTCTGTGTATTGGCTCCCAGCACAGTGCCTGGCACATATTAGGTGCTCAATAAATGTCTGTTGAATTGAATCATGTATTGTTTATGAGTGGAAATAAAGAATATCAAGATGACCAAAAGATGAGTGAGAGAGTGGAATGCACCTGTTTGCAGTGAGGAAGGAGAGGAGATATCATCAATCCTGGGCAGAGAAGGGCATGAGAACCCCTGAAAGGTGGATGTGAGAGGGGATCCAGCAGAACATTCTCTTATTAAATCGGCCTCTTGCTGTAAATAGTCCAAGGTAACATTTGTTAGTTTTGAATACTGCTCTTGGGTTTCTTTTTTTCATTTTTATATTTTAAAGATTTTATCAGAGAACAAAGATTTATGAAGTTTTGTTTTTACTGTACCCAATTCAAATTCAGCAGCTTTTGGTGATGCACTCATACACTTTCTTAAGAGTGTTATGACCGCACATTTTAGCAGAATCAAGCAATGATTAGCATTATTTAGATCTGGCAACTCAATAAAATGGTTTTCTGCAGAACTGTGACTTCCCTGTTTCTTACACTAACGTTTCTTCATTTTCCTATGAATACACTTGTTTCTTTGTTGTCACCACACTGAGCTCTTATCTAACATTGAAGTACTTGTAAACTCAGCCAGCCATTGTGTTTTGAAAATGAACTTCATAGCCGGGCGTGGTGGCACACACCTTTAATCCCAGCACTCGGGAGTTCCAGGCCAGCTGAGGCTATAGGTAGATGCTGTCTCAAAAAAGACGGAAGGAAGGAAGGAAGGAAGGAAGGAAGGAAGGAAGGAAGGAAGGAAAATGAACTTCATTGTTGTACTGGTTTGATGTTTTCTGTCACCCTCAACCAGTTCTGTAATTCTCTGGACCCGCTTGTCCACAGGTGGACCATGGCTTTAGTTAAAGCCTAATGTTAACACCAGACTATAGGTTTCTTGGCTCAGTTGCACCAAGGCAGCTCACTTCAGATGCCATTTGCAAAGGTGGGAATCCACAGGTTACCCTCACTTCTATCCAAGTCGGTTAAAATAACTTATTGTTAACACCTTGGAGAGCTCAGGAAAACACTTTACATTTGCTGTTTTATTATAAAGGATACAACTTGGGAACAGCTGATGGAAGAGGTATAAAGGAGCTCAGGGGAAGGAGGGGTCTATGCCGTCTCGGAGTGTCCCATCCTTCTGGCACTGCAGAAAGTTCGTCAGCCTGGATGCGGCCCATAGCTTGCTGTTTAGGAGCTGAGTTTTCAGCCCTCCATCTCCTGCTTCCCCTCCCACATCCCAGAAGTTGATTGCACCAGGTATTTGTGGTGACCAGCCTCATCCTGACATCACCTCAGTAGTGTGAACCTTGGTATGACCAGAAGAGGCTCATGAATAAACACTCCTGTTGGTATACTCTAGGCATTTTAGCAGCTCTACGTCAGGAGCAGGGAAAAAGGCTAAAGATAATTTTGCACTATCCTACATATAAACATGGAAATATGGTGCCCCCTCAAGTTGAGAGTCACAGCACTTATGCAGGTCAAAGTCTGGGAACCTGCATGTAGAATGAGTATTCCTGGATGGCAGGGAGCAAAGCCCCACATACACTAACTGTAATTTTGGTACTCTGAGCCTCTTGAAGAAAAGTTCAGCAGAATGTGGTGGCACGTACCTGCAATCCAGCACTAAGAAGGCAGAGGCAGGACTTGGCTCCATGCCCGACAGCTACAAAGTAAGACCCCATCACACACAAGAAGCGGAAGATGAAGATGAAGGATTCAATATTGCCGTGTGCTGACCTTTTCCAAGCTGTCCAGGACCTCTATCCTAATTGGTGGACCGCTGTTACAGCCTCTCCACTGTAAGGCATCTCAATTTCCATACCCCTGATCTTATCCCATTCAACCCATCCTTCACACAGTTGTCCCATCTAAATTAAAGACATTCATCTTTCAGTTACTTACAGGGATCGCTTCCTTTTACTTATTACTTCTCACACTACACATCTATGGGAAAATCCTAGCAATGATTACCTTTGCACTGACGACTGTCTACTGCCACCATCTGGCCCAAACCGTGATCATCTCTCTGAAATTTCATAACCCATAAAAACTCATCTCTGCTTCCAGTATGTGCTCCCTTCAACCTGTCCTTGATACAACTGTCAAAGGCATCTTATCTTAAACCTAAATTATTTTATTTTTTTCCTCTACTAAAAACCTTCCAATGGTTTCCCTCGTACTCAGACTAAAATCTCAGCTTGCTAAAATGCCGGGAACCAGGCTGGAACCTGCCTCTGAGAGCCTCTTTATTTTCCTGATAGTTAGGTGTGTCCTGACCTTGGGGCCTTGGCCAGTCTTCCTCCAGATACTTAAAGCTCACTTTCTTTGCCTACTTGAGTATTACATTCTCATTGCAGCCTCTCAGCTCAAAGATTACCTCCCTAAGTCTACCTCAGAACTATTTCTCCAGCTTTATTGTAAACTAAATCTTTAAAATACGATCCTGGGCCAGAGAGGTAACTCAGTGGGTAAAGGTACTTGCTGCTGAGTCTGCCGACTTGAGTTTGATCCCTGGGATGGTGGAAGGAGAAAGCCAACTCCACAAAGTTGTCTTCTGACTTCCACATGCATGCATGGCACACGTACACCCACACGCATATACTCATGCACAAATAAAAACTAAGAAAGCATGGTCTTAGAATTGGTTGAAATTATAACACACATCACAGTGGCAGTTTATTTTGTCTTTGTTTAGCTCTTTCCATCCTTTAAATGCAAATACCTGAAGGCAAGGATTTTTGTCTCCTATTACTTGACACCTACAGTAGTGCCTGGTACATCATTAAGTCCTCAATAAATGTTTCTAAAATAAAATTGGACATGCTGGCCCACATCTGAAATCCCAGCAAGAGGAAGTCAAGGCAGGAGATTGCAAATCCATCCTGGACTACATAGCAAGGCCTTGTCTCAAAACAGGATTGGGGAGATGGCTCGGGGAGTAAAGCACTTACAAGCAGGTGCAAGCGTGAGGATCCAAGTTCAAGTCCCCAGAAGCCATGTAAAGCCAGGCATGGCAGCATGTGTCTAATCCCAGGACACAGAGGGTGAGATAGAAGGTGCAGATGGAGAACCCCCAGAAGCTTGTGTGCCAGCTAGCTTGAGGAGCAAGAGGACCTGTCCCAAGGTGAAAGGTGAGGACTGACCCTAAGCTTATCCGACCTCTGCACATGTGCTGTGGCACACAGGCATCTGTACTCACGTGAACACATCTGCACACATATACACAGAGATAAAAAGAAAACATAAACAACCTGAAGCAAATGAATGCATAGCTGACACACAAGGGGCGAGGGGCCTCTCCTTGAAACGTTAGTCTCTGCGAGTAGCTGTGTTCAAGAGACATTGGAAGCAGTGCTAATGTACTCGGATTCCAGAAGACACAACCATCCTCTTGTCTTGGCTGTCAGCTTTCTGTCTTGAGGATGATAAAAGGACTTGTCTGGATGATAAAAGGACTGATTTTCTAGGATGTCTGCAGCCACTAGGCCTGCATTCTAAACAGGATTGAAATGTCCTGCAAACTGTCAGTACCTGATTTCCTGTCATGTAGCTTCCAGTGAGACGCCAAGGGTGACTGGTTCCTATCAATATATTTTTTGTTTTTAAATCAAGAAGTTGAGCTGACTCTGTAGTTCATATTTTTTTTTAACTGCTCAAATAGTCTCTACAAATGTTTCCATAAGAATAAAGAAAGGGTATTTTATCAATACTGCC